GTAGTTTATTTAGTTGAAAAAAATGATCCGCTGATTTACATAAGTCTCTTTCCCCATGTTAAGGCACGGACACACCTGGCCGATTATCGGCCTCGGTGGGTGTCAGGCCGACGATGAGCATTGATACGCCCTACTAAGACTGGTGTGTCCCGCAATGTCTGTTCTTTTCAGCCGTGCCGACGCCTTTTCGGCATCGGCAGTCGGCCAAAGGCAGTCGGCAAAATAAATCCAACACTGATTGGCTGTTCAGCTAGCGAATCAGTGCATGAGAAGCGAAACGGAAGTGATGGACCCAAACAAACTATTAAGAAGGCAAATCTGAGGTTTCATTGAACTCCAGCCCTCGACACAGGTTCGGGAAAGTCCCATGAGCTTCTCGTTGTAGAGTGAAAATGGAACGCACACACTATTTCTTGTTTGTTTATATCATGCAGTCTGTTCTTCTTCTCTCGGTTATCACGCGTCTTCGGTTGTTGCCTCTTTTGAATGATGAATACACACTACCGCCGCCTGCTGGTAAGGAGAGTTATTGCCACTCACGCATGCGCAGTTCCTACGTGTGTCTTGGCCGTCGGCTGAAGTCTTTGCTGTGTATTCCAGTGCGACACATGGCCAAAACGCAGAGACATGAGGCGACGTAACTGTCGGGGTCCGTCTGCAGTTCTTTGTTGTCAGATTGGTGTGTCCGGGCCTTAAGAGATGTCCCGCCATTAGCCTATCACGTACAATGTGTTGAAGCGCTAGCCAATTGAAGCGTGAGTGTTACATAGTGATGTCCCTATGTTACCGAAGTAAACGCATATTGCAATTGGAAGCGTTTCAGGCGTGGGGGGGGGAAGGAGTGTGTGGAAGAGAAACTCCCTCTGGAGGGGAGTTTGGGGTTTTAGCCTTTACAGACCATTTGCATGCAAAAAAACCTTTATGATACACTACAACAAAGGGAAAACAAAAAGATTTCCACATATGTTGAAGACAACATACCATTCAAATACTTTCCGTCTTGATTCATAGAAAATATAAATATAAAACCTGGCCTTATTTTGTAAGTTTAGCTCCAGCAAATGTAGTATGTAAGCAAACACTTCACATTAAATATTCTAGTAAAAAAAATCACAAACTGTAGAAGTGACGATATAACAATTGATGTCGGAGTGATTCCTAATGTTGATGACTGTTTGTTTGTTTATTGTAGGAATGCTGCTTGTGACTGCAGATACTCTGGGCCATGATTTTCACGTCTTTCACATTCTGACCCACCCATGGGCCTCATCACAGAGCGCTGTGCACCATCTTTACACCTTGCATCGAGGGGAAACTGAAGCCAAGGTATGGGATACACACACATCTGCACATCGTCGTGTTGAAACAGACCTGAAAATCAAAATCGTTTTCATTGTTAAACTATTTAAACTCTCTCCTTTATTTTCATTTCCAAATAAGTTGTTTGTGTCAAATGTTGCATCCACAAACACTTCCACATTGAAGTAAAAATCCAACAAGATCTATGTAAAAAAAAACTAAAGAAATACTAGCTTGGGAGGCATGTAAAACTTTACATACAACGGTTTTTGAGGTTGGTCCCTTGACATAAAACGAAAAAAAGTCTCAAGAGACAAGAGAAATTATAAATATATTAAAGAGTTATGAAACCTAGCAACATTTTTAGAATCTAGCTGAAAATAAGGAGGATTCAGGCCAGCACTGGAGACACATTGACACAATTTTGTAGAGCAAATATGAAGCAGTAATCAAGTTCCAGTTCTAGAAGTGTTTTTTTTTTAAAAAAGGAACGCAGAGGAAGTATGCGGAATAACCTATTTACGTTTCCTGTATGCAATGTACCCACAGAAAACTATCACTAGACTATTTGTGTACTATAGAAGGCTGTAATACTGTACTACTGCTGCAACTATAGACCATGACGATGAACGGTTGAAAATACAATCCTATTGTTAGTAGTAAATTATATGCACCTGTGCCAGTAGAAGCTGTCCAAACTAAACGGACAGTGGCACACATATACTGTAAGTTTCACACTACATCCACATTATGTTTATTGGGAGACTAGCAGGAACATAATGAGTTAACAGAAATCACAAATTAAACATATTATTAATATCACACACACACACACACACACACACACACACACACACACTCTCAAATACAGACACGCACACACACACACACACACACACACACACACACACACACACACACACATACATTCTCACAGCCTGGTTAATGTATGACCAAACGGCAGGTCCGCTGACCGGCTGCACACTGAGCCTGCTTTGATCCTGCCTGTTGTAAACACTGAAAGCTGGCCTAGCCTAACGCTTTGGCCAGGGGTTATCACCTTCACAGGCACACACACACAGGCACACACACACAGAGCGATAAACTCTCCAGTTAGGTGGGTGGAGAGACGCCTTATCTGTTTTTAGCGGCCAAACATGCGGCTGGCTGTCAGTGACCTGAGGCCAGGTAAACAGACCTTAGCTGATAACACATGTAAGGGACTGAAGGAGGACCAGAATGTAGATCAGAGCGGAGCCACAGGGCAAACTGGAAAGTGCTAGTCACTGAGGTTACAGGGGTGAAACTCCAGCACTGCTTTACTCTGCAGCCCTGCATGATCAGCTGTGATTGCAGTGATTTTTGTTTTAAAGGCTGATGTGTTTACACGCACGTTGGTTTTGAAAGCTGAACATAAGAAACTCTGGATAATGCATCAAATGAGCTTTAGTTTAAAATAAATTCTTCAAGGAAAGTTAGACATCTGCATATTAGATTATAAGATTTTATATTAACCCCTCAATCCAAACACATTGCAAATACGCTCTTTCTCTATATGTATCAATTCCAATATGTTTAACTAAACCACACAGGCCACAGATAGCTATTGAATCCGTTTTTTAATGGTTTTTAAACGTATACGTCGGGAGTAATTGAGTAGCAATGTTAGGGATTTTTGTATTAGTTCAACTATTAATATGTTAATAGTAATACATATGGTTGTTAATAATAAGCTTATTGAAAATATTAGGAAATTACATGTTTTTGAGCTTTTGGCACTCAGGCTCTTCACTCGGATGATGTGTTCTACATTCGGCTTTAGTGAGAATGTGGGCAGAAGTGTTCTGAAAAGGTAGATTTAGAATACAGCAGGACCAAGTAGAGACCCTTGGTGGACTCCATGTGTCATGGCTGTTTGTTCAGATTTATATATCAACCAACAGACCCAAAAAGATGAGGGATATTCCAGAGTCAATCACAACCCCCCTGTTTGTTTATTTTTCTGTTATTTACAGCTTCCTTGTATTCACTTTCTAATGCTCTCACACTTGAGTTCTATCCAAGCGCATCCTTGTTGTCTCTATTCCATTTTATCTGTCCGTCCATCTTTTTCACATGCTTTTCATTCCTTCCGACTTTCACTCAGGTGAACATAGCTGCCTAATCTACTTCACTGATTAAGAAAATAAGAATCACAAGCATTAACCATGTCTTGTTGGCGTCTCTCTGGCTGCCTAGTATGTCAATATTCCTCGAATGAAAACATGACGGAGCTGCTTTGGAATGTGAAACCTCCACACTAGCACATGCATGAGACTTTATTAAGATACCAATTGTCAAATGTTTGGTATATACATGTTTGGCACGCTATGACTGTACAATAACAGCCACCCTCAAGGTTACCCGCTGTCTGATAAAATAGATTTGACAGTATGGTCCAGTCGCCAATATACAGTTGAAGCTCTGACAGGTCTATTATGACCAATTACAGTCTGCACAAAGTAGCCCTTTCTCATCGCCAAGCTTTCCATAATCAGCCTAAGAAGAGGTCATGCCTCTTCTTTCACTCATCTTTGTGAAGTAAAGTAACTGTCTGGTATTCGGAGGATGCCCCATTAACTGTCATTGCTTGGTACAATTACCTAGTTCGACTTGGCGAAAGATAAGAGAGGCCTACAGGTACACAAATGTCTTTCTGATTGGCTGGCTAGCTTGCTGGCTAAAGGGTTAGACATTCTTCACAGCAACTTTCCTTTTTTTCCCTACCACAGTCAAGTCTACTGGGTTTAATTTCTGTATGGAATGTGGAATAATAGATGCTATTTCAGCACACTTTCATCTTATCAGTTGGTCACATCACTCCTTTGCTTGTTTTGTCTTCTGGCTGGTTTCCTGCATGGCCGATGCTCAGGGACATCCTTCTTCTGAAGGGTCTTCTGCCTGAGATTAGGTCTATGTTTAAGGAATAAAACTAACAAGCATGTATCTAAGGGAGAGGATTAGGGCCACATGTGATTTTTTTGGAGAGATCTGACCACAAGAGTTCTGAGGTTATCACAATTCTGAGATTACAGACAGAATTCTGCCTTTTTATTCACAATTTTGACTTTTTCTATATTTCCATATCTCCTCATTTATTATCTAATCTTCTCATCCTGGTCGAATTTTGTCAAGCACTCCAAAAAGGTAGAATTATCTGTGTTGACAATGTTTTGGCTGACGTTTATCCCCGTTTTGCATAAATCCCTATCCTGAGTTTTGAAGAAAATAATACAGAACAGAGGATTAAGCCTTTGTTCAAAAATATCCATCCATCCAGTTAATGGCAGTCTAGAGAAGTAGCTTGGAGCTGCTGAAACCAAATATCTGGGAGTTAGTGAGCCGACTGTATGTAAATGTTTGTTCAAGGATGGTTACAAGTTCACCGCCAGTTAAAACAGTAATCATATATATTAAAATCCAAAGATGAAACATAACCAACAAGTTGTCATTCATTCAATTGTTGTTGTTTCATACTGACAATTTACATATTTTACTTTAAATCACATGTCATTTGCTGAGGCACTTACAATGTCTTTAAATAATCACTGTGTCTCTATTTCTTACACTCTTTCACCCAAGTTCAGAAAAACTTCACGTTTTACAGACATTTAAAACATGTCTACGTTTTCAAAATGCAGTCAACAGGGCACATGATGAAAACATCAACACAGTAAAAGCATAAAAAAAACATCACGTTTTTGGGAGTATGTCAGTGTTTTTGGTAGCCTTGCTAATAGTGAACACTTTTTTTTTGTAAAGGTTTCTAAGCAGCCGTAGCGCTTATACAAATTCTACTTATTTGTATTTTTTAGTCTTTTGTTTTTACTGGGGCACATACAGTATGGCGTTAGAAAAGGAAGTATGGGGATTTTATAAAGCGCAGCAGACCTTGAAATGATGGCTTCCCGAGACTCATAAGGCAGACCAGCTGGACCAAGGTACCAATGGTGGACTGACCGCTCAGATACAGAATACGCTAACATAGCTAGGACCTAAGGCTAGCCTACTATCCAGCTTGAGTGAAAATGATGTGTAGTTCGAGGAATTTAAAACGTAATCATGTGCATAGTGAGTGGAACTACAGTGACTTTATTTCGTCCTTTTGCTGTCCCAAGACCCCCCTCTAATATCTGTCCTCTCTTTGTTCCTGCCCTGTCTCTGTCCAGGTCCAAGACATGTGTTTTAGCCAGGACAGTCGCTGGGTTACCATCAGCACCCTTCGAGGCACAACCCATGTATTTCCCATCAACCCCTATGGCGGTGCACCCTGTGCCCGCACCCACATGTCACCTCGGGTGGTAAATCGGATGTCTCGCTTCCAAAAGAGTGCCGGCTTGGAGGACATTGAACAGGAGCTGAACAGGGTAGCTGCGTTAGGAGGAGGAGCAGGAGTTGGAGGCATCGGAGGAGGTGGCTGCATCCTGGGAGGAGGAGGAGGCATCGGGGGCCGCTGTAGCCCCATACCTGGCATGTCCAGCAGCCCCTCGGGTTCTCCACTGCATGGTAAGGAGCTTGGGAGGGAGGAGAACTGAAAGGCTTGCTGTTTTTGTTACCTATGCTTGTTGAGGTTGGCATCTAATGCGCATTTGGTGCAAGGCAGCATGGAGGAGGTTATCCAGATTTCTCAGTTTCATATCATTGAAGGTTAAAAATATGATAGAAAGCTTGATTAACTATATTCACATATTTTTGCAATAGGGAATAAGAATGTGACATTATCAACAAGTCGGACATCTTTGAAGGATACCTGTTTACCGACAAACTAGCGTTGAAACTTCTAAAACATGATTGGTAGCCAATGCCAAGACCAACAAACAAAACAAAAAAGGAACAATTGATAATGTTCCGTTTGTATCGGTAGATTAATAGTGCATGATAATCGATGATGATTGTATAGTTGTCATGATCCCTGTAGATTTAAAGGTGCTGTACCCAGCAGTTTGTAAATTAGACACGGGCCTCAAAAGATACAACTTTTTTAATCTAACGACAGGTCCAGGCACTGACTCCAGTTGTGTGTGTGTTTCCAGTGAGTGGTCACCAAGTAGCTCTATTCCTGGGATTCTGATCTGTCTGCCAAAACCTTGTTCACCTTGTTTGTCAAACAACACGGATGGCTGCTCCCACTGGCTGTGTCCCTATTTGACATTGATAAACTCTGAAAAACACACACTTTGTGTAAGCAGCACTGCGTGACCCCATAGGTGTTACTTAGTATGAAATAAAACAGTTCTCATAAGTCATTTATTTCCAAGAACACCCCTGAGCTTTAACTAATGTGTCAGGGTGATGTCAAGACCTTGATAAACACTGCAGCGAACCAGATGACTGGGAATTGACAGTTTGGTCATTGGAAATCATGTAACAAGGTTTAAGGTTCATTTATTGTCATTGTAAAACGCATGGCTTTGAAGAAACAAAATGAGTAGCCTAGTGGTATGGAAGCATTTTCTTCTTAGTAAACTGCCAGGGATGTTGTATTATACATATTTTATACACCCATTGCACCACATGCTTTTTAGCTTAAAGGGGTGGAAAACGTTAGCCTTAAAAAAACTAACATTTTAAGAGGGAATGGCATTTTTCTATAGTTGGTGACATAGAGTGGTGCAATGATGACATATTTTTGTAGGCAGACCCAGAAGTTAGCATCACAAGGGCTCCCGCAACTAAAAGCAAATAGATTTCTCCATTGGATTAAGGAGTATAGCAGAAAATAAAGATCTTTGGCAGACACGTGTATGATAATAACACTTATACTTACTTTAGTTTGGCAGGATAATCTCATATTATCATATTGACATACTAAAACAACTTCATGATAGTTTTAAGTGTGAATACAACCACCAGGAGTAAAAAGTTAACTATAAACAAACTACATGAAAAATATTCAGCACGTCTAAGCTAAAGGTAGACTTGTGATTGGCATGATGAGTCATTGTGTTTCATGTTGTTAACATGAAACACAATTCAGGACGGGGAAACTGTAAGTGATAAAAAGCTGACTCATTTACACGTTATAGTACTCATTCCTGCACCACTCTATATCTGTAGTTTTAGTAGACAAATGTGCTGTTGCAAACTCAACAGGTCTAATTTAGGATAATATTGTTTACAATACATTTGCATCTATGTGCTGAAACATCCAGAGGGATCATCATCTGTTTTCTTTTATATTAAAATGTACCAATATGACAAAATATATAAATAGTGCAATTTTTGTACTCTAGGTTGAAAAATGACGCCCTTGCCTTCTTTCTCCGTCCTGTCTTCCTTGTCTGGACCCAGACTACTTTGTAACCTCTAGACTCAAATATACACACACACATACACATACACCTACACACAGACACACACATTCCTTCACACTGTGAAAAATAGGCCATCAAACATTAAAAGGATGTCTTACTTTGGAGAGTCACCGCTCTGCTGCGATGAGAGACAGAAACATCAAAGTGGGGTATGAGGTGAAAGTGAGGGAGCAAAGTAATGAGGTACGATTGAGAAAAGTGAAGGAGAGATGGTACAGGGGGAACGGAGGAGGAAGAGCGACAGACGGAGGGGGAGAAAGATAGGTTTGTAGTAGAAGCAGCACTGAAAGCCGGGGGTCTCGGGGAGCATGCTCGTAAATCACACTTGTGTTTCAAAGAAAAGCATTAGGGCCACCTGTCAACAATTAGTCCTCCAAGTGATACCTTACTGTGTGTGTGTGTGTGTGTGTGTGTGTGTGTGTGTGTGTGTGTGTGGGTGTGGGTGTGTGTGTGTGTGTGTGTGTGTGTGTGTGTGTGTGTGCGTGCACATTTGAAGAAGATAAACTATGTACACAACTACCGGTAATCTTTTTTTAAATGGAAAAAATGAAAGAATACTAATATTTGCTTGACTCCAAAACATTCAAACATAACTTTTATATCTAAGTGTATTAGATAGTCCACAGGAAGTTTTAACAAGGTTCTAATCTGTACCATATAGACACTAGCTAACCTAATAAAAAATTGCAAACTAGCCCCTCCACCCGCCTCCTTTCTAATTTAATTTGTGCACGTTTGCTCGGCGGGTCTGCAAATTCCGTGCCGTTCCAAGCCAGCAGGGTTAAAAAATTATGAAATCTTCCAACACCAAATCTTCATCGATTCTTATCATCTGCCTTACCTGACCAGGTGCAATGCCGTTAGTATCCGTCATGACTGATGACACTGTAGACATGTAGTTGCCTGCTCTTCATTTGATAAAGCTGTCAGTTTACTGCCATTTCTTTTTCTCAAATGAGACCAGGTATTCCATATCTATCCACAAGTTGGCAGATAGGCCTAGATTAGCTCTCCAGAAAATCAATGACCTGAGAAGAGGAGAGACTCTTTGGGTTGATTCCAATCAAAACCTAATACCCTTTCCCTACCATCTACACTTTGCTATGAGGGTCCGCCACATTTAGTTTCAAACCAACTAGTGGGGATCGGGAGGTATTAAACCCTCCAACAGCGAGTCTGCATGGGTCCAGAACTAACAAATACTTCCTTGCAAAAATGTACTAGTAAAGTATAACATTTTATTTTGTTATACAGATTGTAACAACTTGAATGTTACATTGTATTTTAATTATTTTACTGAGAATCATGTACACCCATGTCTAGTCTAAGAAATTTTTGACGTGTGCATTTCATTTTAAAGTTGTATATATATACAGGAACGATTGCTAAAGCAGCTAATAATCCTCAGATTTAAAGCAAGAAAAGGTTTGCAAAAAAAGCAACTAAAGATTTTTGGTTATGACAGTTTATGCCGGAGAGAGAGTTTGTCTTGAAGCTTGCTGCTGTATTTACATCCTACACCTTAAAGAAGGACCCTCATTCAGCTCAGAGTGTGACCACATAGGAGTTCCCTATGTCACAGAGTGGTAGGGTGTAGGGGTCGGTTTGGAATGGGGCCAGTGAGTGAGATACAATTTAGTGGACTTCATGAAGTTTCTATCACTTTTTAAATGTTATATGTGACATTTACCTTCCATTATTTTGTAACTTAGAATTGTCTGCGTGTGGAGACTGTGGCTTTTTTTGGGGGGGTTTCGCAGAGAATTTAGTCAATGTTTAATTACACTTTTCACCCAAGCTGTTGCACCAATACAAGTTGATCCTCACCCTCAGAAGCAAGCATGTATTTACATGGTGCAAACCAAGAACACAAATCACAGATCACAAATCACAGATCACAAATCACAGGTCATTATCAGTTCACCAGTCACATATGTCTGGTGCAAGGTCGTGTTGGTCTCTGTGTGTCTGTCATTTTAAACAAATTGGCTCCGAAGCATCCTGCCTTATGTACATTTAGAAACCAGCCCCCCCTCAATCACTACCGCTGCCACCAGCGTTGATAAAACCTCCATAATTTGCGGGAATTTCACCGGATGAAAACACATTAGGTCACACACGCTTTTCTGTCTATTTTTGTGGCCCGAGTGTGAGTTTTGGGCATTGAATGCACTTTTCAAAAGCTGGCAGAGAGCAACAGGGTGAGGCACGCCGGGCCAGGCCACCTAGCCACAACAGCTGCTCTGTGATTGTTGCCAGTGAGGACAGCGTTGATTTTTGGAAAGGAACTGAAGAAAAGTACACATCCTCCCCAAAGCTGCCAGCCCAGGCCACCGGCGAGCCTAAAAATAGAGGCTGCAATTGCCGTCTTCTTGTCACTGTTAACATCTAGGATGGCTATTTACGTCCCTGTGTACAGTTCAATTTCCACCCCCATCCCTTCTTTTTCAAAGGTTATTTTGATCTTTTGTGATCAGTGTTTTGTGATTCAAAGTGATGACTTATATTGTGACAGTTCCACGTTGTAAAGCGCGGCTGGTCTGTGGCCCGGCACACACAAGTCTTGATTAGTAAGTGCAGTTCCTCTACAAAGGGCAGAGGTTATTGAGGCCGAGCCCGGCATATGGTAGCCACTGTACAGTTGTATTATTAAAATGTTTTCGGATCCAACCACAGAGTTCTGCTGTATACAGAGGTGGAAGAAGTACTCAGATCCTTTACTTAATCAAAAGGAGAAATATTACAAGTAAAATCCCTGAATTCAAAATGCTACTTAAAGAAACCCTGTTATGCTTTTTGTGGTTTTCCCTTCCCTGTAGTGAGTTATAGTTTAAAGTTATAGTTTTGTTTGCATGTAAATGGTTTGCAAAGCCAAAATTCCCAAAGTTTCCTCCAGAGGGATTTGGTCTCCCACACACACTTTTTTTTTTAACTTAAAATGCATTTAAACATGTCAGAGTAGAAACACAAAATACCAATATGAACCTGAACATTTGCATAATATGTCATCTTTAATAAAACACTGGTATTATCAACAACATGTACTGTAGCTAAATTATGCAGATTAGCTTTTCACAGCATTATATTTTCATAGAATATTGTATTATGTTGTTTTTATTACAAAAAGTGATAGTGCGGTAGTACTGCATCATATCAGCATTTTTTGTATAACTGAGTGTTAAATAAATAAAG